ACTGGACTGGCCCCAAAGCTCATGCACTGCCTTGCAAGGTGGGTGCAGAAGAGAACTGAGAGATCATATAACGTCCCCCTATTCCATTTACATGACAGCTAAGCCGAAAAATTCATTTACAAACTGTTATGTGGCACTTACTATGTGCCAGGCACTATTCTGGCACGTTGCAAATATCAATCCAATTTTCCCTCATCATATCACTATGTGATGGGTATTTGTGTTTCCAGATGAGAAGACTGAGGCACAGGAGAGGAAACTTGTCCAAGTCCACACAGCATGTGGTGGCATCTGGATATAAAACTGGCTCCAGAGTCTGTACTGCCTCTCTGATCCCTGGAGCAGTGGCTCCCTCTCCTCGTTTTTTCATCCTGTGACTTTCCCATGTCGCCACTTTCCTCCTCATTCTTCTGAGAGTCCACTTTCAACTTCCTCTTACCGCCCTGGGTGGTGGTGGTGGTTGGTGTTCCCTTGTGAAACTACAGATTGTGCAAGGCTACCCTTGATTAGATCACTATCTAGATTCCCCCAAAGAACTTAGAGTTCTGGAATGTTTACTGGAGCCAGGGCCTAGAGCTGCTTTTGTAGAAATTAGCCCATTAATTAAGCAATTAATCAGCTTATTGAGAGCAGGTTTTAGTCCCCAGCCCCATGCTGAGCACTGTGAACACAAAAAATACACAAGACATGGCCCCAGGCTTCCGGGAAATAACAGTAGAAACAGCATTTAAGAGTGAGTTGTATGCTGGGTCTGTGTACAACTGGATTTCAAAAGATACATAGGAGAGGAAAGACAAGAAAAGTAAAGGAGCTGGAATTTGAAACAGAATTTGAGGTGGGGGGCGGGGGCGGGGTTTGGCTAGCAGGAAGGAAAAAAGCAGTCCAGACAAGGAGGGGAAAAAACAGAAGTGTTTTCTGCATTGAAATCGACCAGATCATAAGAAATGAGAGAGGGAGGGGGGAAGGAGGGAGAGAGAGGAAGAAATTATTTTCTGCAAAGTTTTGCTGTTTCCAAAAGAGTAAACAAAGAAAATCTCCCCCCCCCCCACCCCCCCCCACCCCCCCCCACACACACACACACACACCCGCTCCCCTGCATCTCCAAGATGTGGCTTCTGAAATTCGAGGCGCTCTTCCTCATATGTCCACCAGAGGGCAGAGCTGCTGCTTCTGCTGTTTTAGCTTCAAGATAGAATCCGAGAGGAAGGTGGAGGGAGGATCCCAGACCCCTGTCAAAACAGCCCGGTGGGATGGCCCGAGGCAGCAGCAGACACCAGTCTTCTCAGTCTGAGCTGTCTTCATAATTCAGCCTAAAAGTTAGGCAAGAAATAGAATATAGACTGTAAGAGGAAGTTATGTGAGACAGAAAAGGAAGAGAGAGACAATAGAGGCATTGCCCCAAAGGCTCTAACCATTATGTACCATAAAAAAATAAAATAAAATAAAACCTTCCAAAGATCAGAAAAGGGATTTCCATGGGTTCAGACTACACATGCCCTCTGCTGATGTGGCTGAGAAAAACTTAATGCCAGACTTGGGTAACTGTGAAAAATGACCAGCTGCTGTCTAAGACTGATGGGACAGCTAAGAGTCTCTGGATAAAGGTGGCCCATCTCAGCCACTGTAAGGAGGAATGCTTGTAACTTTGGTAGTATCCACCTCCTGGCCGTCACCCCAAGTCCTGGTGGTACGCTGTGGGCTGTGTAGGGCAGCAAAAGTGCCTAAAGGAGCCCTGAAGTCAATACGTATTTTTACTACACACCCCACCTGCTCAGCCAGGCAGTAGGGTCCTGAAGCCACCGAAACACAGAGGTAAGAAGCACCTCCGTGAGGTGGGACACTAGTTTGAAGTCAGAAATCCTGGCTTTTCTTGCATTCTCCCTCCAGAAAGCATGCCCATGTCTATGCCTTCCCCCTCTCCACCTCCCCCTCCCCTGCCCGCAGTCATGTGTGTCCCCGTCCCCCTCCCCCCCCCACCTCAAGGCAAGTATCTCCTAAATTCTAAGGGCACCAGGAGATTTGCAACCAGGGGGGCAATGGACAGTGGGAGCTGTCCTGGGCTAAGCCCCGAATCTGTCTCCCTTTTCTCTGACCCTCCAGGGAGCTGACAGCAGTCCCACCCAAAACATTTCTTTCCTGTAACATTTCTGGAGCCCAAGCAGCCCCATCCCAGCTCTCCCCTGATTCTTCTTCTATCCTAAGCCCTACCTTGTTTCACTGTCCCCAGCTTTTAATGACTAAATAAACAAACACTCCTGGCTTTTATCTGTCTTTTCAACCATGCGTGTTTGGAGGGGTGAACCAACTTCTCTGATCCTTAATCTCCCCATTTGGGAAGCAGAAAGGCTGAGCTAGAGAATAACCTCTGATGGGGCTGTCAGCTCTGAACTTCTGAAAAAACACACATTCCTTTGGCCATAAGAACTGAGGGGAGAGGAGAGGGGGGCACATGACTGAGTAGCTTGAAGAGTTCATCCTAACCCCGAAGCGGGCTCCCCAGCTGGGGGGGGGGGGGGGGGGAAAGAGCTCCTGCCACGGCCACTGCGACACTTCCCGCCCTCCCCCGCCCTCCCGGGCCCGCGGGCCCGCGGCGCACGCCCACGTCCCTCAGACGCTTCTGGAATCTCGCTGGACTCCTCCCAGGAATGCTTAGTGCCCTTTAGCCCTGCAGATCGCTTTGCATCAGCAACCTTGCAGCACGATTATTAATCATCGCAATATTCCTCCTTCCGCCTCTAAAAGGAATTGCGAAGATTGATGAAGGTGAAATCCGAAGGTAACTTGACTGTGGTTCATTCAATAATCAGTTAACTAAAATTAGTTAAGCGCCCAAAAGGGGCAAGACGCAGAGACACACACACACAAAACCGGTTACGATGGGGTCAGAAATGCAGGGGTCCCCAAGGAACTTCACTGACATTCCAAGTATGTCACGGGGGGCGGGGGGTGTAGTTAGAAGGTGACAGATGATCTCCCCTGACAGGTCAGACCATCCATCCTGCAGTAACCAGTAAGGTCCCACCGCACCCCACCCCTCCCCACCCCACGGTCCACTTTACCAAGCCGGGGAGAGGGAAACGACCTTTCCAAGGTCACTTATCCCTCGAGGGGCAACAGTGATCCCCAAACCCCGGTCTTCAAAGCTCTCCACTGCGCCCCTGGGTGAGAGTCTGAAGTCCAAGCCCACAAAATGCAAAACAGGGTTTCGGCGAGGGGCGGCTGCTTCCACGATTTCTGGGCGACCGAGCGAGAAAATCGTGATCCCGGCGCACCCACCGGATCATTCGAGACAGTCCCAGCTCCTGACCGCGCGCGGCCCCGCAGGTCAAGGACGGTCAGAGGCCCCCGCCACCCGCTCCCTCTCCCGGGCCCCCCCGCGACCTCGGGGTCCCCGGCAGGAAGAGGGGGCACGTGGCACCGAGCCCACCTCCGCGCTCCCGGGGGCGTGTCCGGCCGGGGGCGGGGCGGGGTGGGCGGGGCGGGTTCCCAGTCCGCACCCGGGGGGCGGCACGGCGGCGGCGCCAAATAAGGGCAGAGCGGAAGCGGCGGGCAGACGTCACGGCGCCGGGGGGGGGGGGGGGGGGCGGTGACGGGAGGCGCGCTGACGGCGCCGACGTGTCACCATGGAAACCAAACAGTCAACAGAGGATCAGGGAGCTCCTGACGCTACCTGACCGGGCGACCCGGCCTCTGGAGCAAAGGGCCAGGAGTAACCCGGGCCGGCAGACTAGGGTGCTGAGAGGGTGGGGAAGGGGGCGCCGGGGAAGCACCCCTTCTGGGAGGTCCTGGCGAGTCAGCGCGCCCTCAGCCTGGGATCCGGCTGGGACAGGTCAGGGATAGAAAGGAGCGCTCCTGGATGGAAAGCCTGCCTGGTTGTTGTTTTGTGTTCTTGTTTTTGTTTTGTTTTGTTTTGTTTTTGAAGAGTTTCCGTTGGCCTCCAAGGTTGTTGGGGATATTGGTTTTGCCTTGGTTTTGTTTTTTGCTTTTTGTTTTTGTTTTCCTTACTAGTGGCTATGAAGTCCGGCTTTGGAGCCACAGTACCCGGACTTCAGCTCTAGCTCCGCCACTCTAGTTGGATGATCTTGAGCAGATGGCAATCCTGTGCCCCCAAACTTGTTTATCTGGACAATAAGGAGAATAGCAGAACTTACCTGCTAGCGTTAAATTGATGCATTAATGTAAGATGCGTGTGTAACTGTCTAGCACATTTTAAAAATATATATATATTATTGATTTTTTTAGAGAGGAAGGGAGACAGAGAGCTAGAAATGTCAATGAGAGAGAAACATCTACCAGCTGCCTCTTGCACACCCGCTACTGGGGATGTGCCCGCAACCAATGTACATGCCCTTGACCGGAATCGAACCTGGGACCTTTCAGTCCGCAGGCCGACGCTCTATCCACTGAGCCAAACCGATTTCGGCTGTCTAGCATATTTTTTAGTCTCGCAATGAACAATTTTAAAAGAACTTCCCATTCTGAAGTTAGTATTACAATTAAGTAAAATGTTTCATGCATTAACTGAAATGAGCTCTTACCAAATAAAACATTGCTTGGCTCAGTTTGCACTGCTTCGCGGTTTTAAATTTGAAGCACAAAAACTCCAAATGGTATATAGACTAACAGAACTTAAGTACCTCAACTTCCATTTCTTTGTCTTTCAGGTCACTGTGCTGTCTTCACTTCAGGTCTGCTGTTTAAGCACAGTGTTGTGTGCTACCAGCGTCAGATCCTGCGCTCAAAGTGATCACAGGAATTCCGCACCATTACAGACTTTTATTTTTTTTTTAATATATTTTATTGATTTTTGTACAGAGAAGAAGGGAGAGAGATAGAGAGTTAGAAACATTGATGAGAAAGAGTCATCGATCAGCTGCCTCTTGCACACCCCCTACTGGGGATATGCCCGCAACCAAGGTACATGCCCTTGACCGGAATTGAACCTGGGACCCTTCAGTCCCCAAGCTGATGCTCTATCCATTGAGCCAAACCGGTCTCTGCCGCACCATTACAGACTTTTAAAGTGAAGGCATATAGTGAAGTCCGTGTGCTGGGAACCAGCTGTTCGTGTAACTGGGAGTTTAGTTGCATGTAGAATACATTGCTTTAAATGGTAAGTAATTTTTAAATGAAGCTTACTTATACATCATGAAAGTTCACCAGTAATCCCAGCAACTGTTTAGAACGGAAAACAAGATTTTTTCAGAAGGATTTTGTCATGGACAACATCTAGAATTGCCAGTTTATGGTGTTTTACTATGTTTAAACTCTCAGCAGGTGTTGTGATCCCTTGTGGATGACCAACCCTAGGGTGACCTCCAATAATTCCTGCCTCCTGGTGTCCATGCCTTTGTGTGGCTCAGTGGTTGAATCATCAATCAGCCTGAGCACCTCAGAGCCTTGGGTTCAATTTCCAGGCAGGAGCACGGACCTGGGTTGCAGATTCCATCCCTTGTCTTGGTTGGGACACGAGTGGGAGTCATTCAATATCTCTCAATCTTCCTCTCTCCTCCCCTCTGCATTCCTCCCAGGAATTTCTCCCATTCTCTCTAAAAAAAACAATAAAAAAAATCCTTGAGTGAGAACACACACAAAAAAATTTCTAAGAAATAAAAAAGAGTCAGGCCCTTCGTTATACAAGGAAATAAAGTCTGTCAACAACCAGAATGAGCTCAGAAGCAGACTCTGTCCCGTTCAAGCATCTCGCTGAGAAGGCAGTTTGGCTAGCGCCTGATAGCAGCCTTGTGAGACCTTGTACAGAGGATTGACCCACAGGGACTGTGAGACAATGAAGCTGCTCAGTGTGTGGTGATTTGTTAAACAGAAATACAACATGAATCCATCCTCTTTGCTTGCACCTGGGACAGACGGCTCCCATCTCCTGGCACTTGGCATACCACTGCGGCACCCCATACACTGCTCAGGCCTGCCACCCTGAGTGATAGGCTGTGGGCCCTTCAGTATCTTTCCTCCTAAGTCATCAGAGATTGTCAGAGTTTTAAAGCTGGAAAGGGAGTTTTGAGATTTTTGCAACACATTCCTGATTTTTTTAAAAATATATATTTTTATTGATTTCAAAGAGGAAGGGAGAGGGGGAGAGACATAGAAACAAATGATGAGAATCATTGATTGGCTGCCCTCTGTACACCCCACACTGTGGGGATCGAGCATGCAACCTGGGCATGTGCCCTGACCAGGAATCAAACTGTGACTTCCTGGTTCATAGATCCACGCTTAACCACTGAGTCACACCAGCTGGGCCCCACTCCTGACTTGGTAGACTGAGGAAACAGTCTCAGAAGGTTTAGAGTCTTTTTTTTTAAATATATTTTATTGATTTTGTACAGAGAGGAGGGAGATAGAAACATCGATGAGAGTCATCGATCAGCTGCCTCTTGCACACCCCCTACTGGGGATATGCCCGTAACCAAGGTACATGCCCTTGACCGGAATCGAACCTGGGACCTTTCAGTCCGCAGGCCGACGCTCTAGCCATTGAGCCAAACCGGTTTTGGCAGAAGGCTTAGAGTCTTATCCTACGTCACATAAGAACATATTTGGGGGCAGATTGAACATTCTAGCAGAGCAGTTAAGCACGCTGGACTTTAGAGTCTCAAAGAGCTGATTTCAAACTTCAAATCTTCTATTTATCAATTGTGTGACATTGGTTAATTTATTTAACCTTTCCTAGATCATTTTCCTATCTAAAAAATGAGGATCTTAATAATATCTGCTTCACAGGATTGTTGTGAGGACTAAATGAGAGCATCCATTCATCAAAAAGTATTGCACACAAATTATGTGCCAGTTGCCAGAAGCGAAATGGTTAGCAGAGACTACGGTCCCTGATTTAGCATCCCCTGTGAAGTGCATAGTGCAGTCTTGCTCAGAGCAAGCACACACATAAAATGTTAGCCATTATCAATATCATAGTCTAGGGCTCCAGGTTCTATTCCCATCACATGCCTCCAGACAAACTATAAATTCACAGCATAGAACCTCTGTTGTATAATTCCAACGGCCTACATCCCCTCTCCCGCACCCCCGAGAAATTCCATAAGTATCACTAACTCCACATGTCAACCCAGAACTTACCATCTTATCTCCCAAACCTGCTCTTCTCCCTATAGTCGCAAAGTCATTGGTGAAACCACAAGCCTCCGTGTGTGTCACGCATGGTAAACCTGGGAGTGAGCTTAAATTCCTCCCTCACCCTCACCTCCTACATCTACTCAATCACCGAGTCCAGACAGTGCTACCCCCTAATTACCGCTTGTTCCCTCTGCATTCCCACCACCACTGCCTCGGTTCAGCCTACACACAACTGTACCGAGTAAATACTAGGCATTTCATGACCTGGCCACAGCTAGCTCTTCTTGACCTATCTCCAGCCCCTTCCACTTGGATGCTGCAACACTGATGCAAATGAAGTCAGATGTACTTATGGGGTGCTCTTTAATTGACATCTCCCACCTTCTGCTCCCCGACCCTCACAGTTTATAGTCCAGCAGAACCAAGTGCATGCATCTGTGTCTTTAGAGTGCTTTCCCTCTGCTTTTTGGAATCCCTTCACCTCTCACTGCTCATTCTAGCAAACTCCACTCACCTTTGAAGGCCAGCTCAGAGGTCCCTTCTCAGAGGCTCCCTAAAATAGAGTGCATCCGCTCCCTCCTTCTGTGAAACCTGCACCTCGTGTTAATTTTATTGTCACAGTGGATTATAATGGATATGTTTATGTGACTTTCTCCCTCATAGACCATGAACTCTTTGAGGACAGGGCAGTGCCTTCCTCGATCTGAAGTTGGCACCTGATATAGAGTAGACATCCAGAAACTTTCACTGAATGAAATGAAGCCAATGCTTGTTCCAGAGGGTAAATATTTTCTCCCCTGAAACCCACACCCCCCCTAAATTATAAAGATAATACATACGAGCTAACACGTTTATAATGCCTTTGTATGCCCAGGCACTGTAATGTAGCACTCTGTACCAGTAGCTTCTTTAATGCTCACAACAGCCCCAAAAGGTAGGTAGAATTAGCTGTGATGACAGTTTCATGATTGACTAAAAAGACTGAAGAGTAATCATTGCTTCTGTAGATCTGACCACAAATTGCTTGCTCCCCAATGTAAATATGGCAGCAACTGAGGCCTGTACCATCTACCTGTATGATACTTTTGCTCCATCCTTAAACAGGCTCCCTTCCTAGGAGTCTGCTTCCAATATAACCAATAATCAAGCCCCTCTGCATTCTTATCCAAATCAACGCATCATGTTGGCATGAGCTGAAAGTTAAAAAAAAAAAAAAAAAAAAAAAAAAAAAAAAAAGGCTTATAAATTCAGAAGAGCTGATGGCCACTGGGCCAGGCAGCCTCCTTGGAACAATGGCCAGGGCCCTTTCTGCCCTTTTGTACTCTTAGGCAGCAGAACAATGCTTCCCGGGCAAAGGAGGGGCAGCTTAGTTTAGTCCATGAGTGGGGTTGGGGAACCATTGAAATGACTTGCATTGCAACTAAGCTTCTGGGGCTTTCTCCTTTGTGCAAAGGAAGTGGGACTCTATCTGGCCAGCACCCCTGAGGGACTTTGAACTCACTCATCAGGAGTCAATGCACCTTATTTCCACCTGCTTTTCTTCAGGTCAGGGCATATTCTTGGTAAAGGATGATTATGGTAGTGATGATATTGATACTGATACTGATACTGATAGCAGCTAACCCTTATCATTCTATTGTCTTGCACACTACATTGTAAGTTTTATAATCTCACACACCAGTTGCTAAAAGTTAGTGAACCCAAATGAGTGTGGTCTGAAAATTTTATATCAGTAAGAGTGAAAAACTTGTTTGTTTGTTTCTTGAAGATGAACATACCTATATTTAAATACACATCCATTCTTCATTTAAAATTTGTTTCGAAAGAAAAAGAAAACATAAAATGAAGTGTTATAGATCTGATATGGGCTGTGAAAAAACAAAGCAGGATAGTGGGATAGAGTGTCACAGAGACTGGGTGTGTTCTCCAGTTACTCTGGATAGAATGACCTGGGAAGTTACTCTAGGTAGAGTGACTTGGGTAGCCCTCTTGGAAGGGATGTCCTTTGAGCTGAGTCCTGGATGATAGAAAGGAGCTAACCCCAGAAAAAGAGGCCCAGGCAGAGGGACAGAAAGTGCAAAGGCCCTGCAACAGGAACAAGTATGTGTCAGGGATGGAAGGAAAGCCGTGAGCAGAGTGCTTATAGGGGAGAATGATAGGAGATGGAGTTAGAGAGGAGTCAAGAATTGGCTTCTTGCCCAGCTGGTGTGGCTCAGTAGTTGAGCATCGACCTGTGAACCAGGAGGTCATAGTTTGATTCCTGGTCAGGGCACATGCCCGTGGCTATGGACTTGAGACTTGATCCCCTGTGTGGGGTATGCAAGAGGCAGCTGACAATGATTTTCTCTCATCGTTGTTGTTTTTATATCTCTCTTCCTCTCCCTTTCTCTCTGAAATCAATAAAAATATCTTTAAAAAACAAAGAATTGGCTCTTTAATGTTTATGGCAAAATTTCACAGCTTAAAGTGCTCTGATATTTAGCATTCAAGTGATGTTTATATCTCCTTTGTGGGTTTTTTGTTTTTTTGTGTTTTTTGTTGTTGTTGTTGTTGTTTTAGGAATTTGATTATTCTGTGTTTGGGGACGTCTCAAACAGTTAAGGATTTATTTTTTGTTTTGTTTTGCTTTAGATTTATTTTGGTTTGAAATACATTGAAACTTCAAGTCATTTCCTTAGAGTAATCATCTGAAAACTTTTCCTTAGCCTCTGTCTCTTCTTTATCTACTAATTAAAGATAGCCTAGTTGGTTTACTTTCACTCACACATGGAAAGTTGCTGTTGATACAAAATTGCTGTTATTAAAACAAATTGTTAAACGCTACCCTTTAATTTTGATAATTATATAAGATGCAGAGATATGCAAAACGATGTAAACACTGTCATCTGCTACTATATAGAGATAAATGTTTTGTTTCTTCTTTCCTTTTTCCATCTAAAATTAATTTGGAGCTGGAAGCACAATGGCTGTGCATTCCCTTTGAGGTGAACTGGCAGAAATAATCCAGGGGAGGCAGTTAAGGAATTTCAGGAGTCAAGATAGAAGTCAATTTGTGTCTGAAGCCAGACATAAAAGATGTGAAATCCCCATAGCTTAATATCATTATAGGGCCTGGAATAGGAGAATTTAGAGACGATCTGAGGAATATATTTGTTTGTAGAAATAGTGCAGAATTTATACATTCCTCCACCTGGCAGATAGTCATTAATCCTGTATTTTGTGCCAGGCACTGGACCAAGTCTGGGGATGCATTGGTGAGCTAAACTAGACCTTCTCCCTATAAGGAAATGACCCCTTCCAATCCTTATTCCTGTCCCTGCTAATGTACTTATCTATTTTGTATCAGCGTTGAATGATGGTCCCTGGGATAGTTGTATTTCTTAGATTGGTGTAAGGCCATATCTTGTGGGTAGAGAGCAGAGTCTTTCCCAAAAGGAAGTTGACATCCCAATGTCTTATCACCCATGGAAGTGGTTGAATCGTGTCTCAGGAAAGGAAGATTTGGAAGGAGCCCTTTGGCTGGAAAGAGGGTATTCCTTTCTTTTGATCCCATGAGGAGGGTTGGCAGGGAGCTTGGTGGAATGTCAGCCCTATGGGAGATCCTGTAATAGGCCTCTGAGAAGCCTGTAACAGAGTCTGTGTGCAGGTGATCTCCCTGGACTTTTTTTTTTTTTAATATATTTTATTGATTTTCTACAGAAAGAAAGGAAGAGTGATAGAGAGCTAGAAACGTTGATGAGAGAGAAACATCGACCAGCTGCCTCCTGCATACCCCCTACTGGGGATATGCCCGCAACCAAGGTACATGCCCTTGACCAGAATCGAACCTGGGACTTTTCAGTCCGCAGACCGATGCTCTATCCACTGAGCCAAACTGGTTTTGGCCTCCCTGAACTTTTAATGCAGTCTTGTTGATGCAGCAACCTGGTCTCAGCTGGGCTATAGTAACCAAAGGAAGGGTCTGTGTCCAGGCCTAGGTCAAGGCTGTCAAATGGAAAGCAACGGTCTCGCTTTATAGTCAGCAAGAGGCTTCCAGAAGCCATTAGTCAGGTCCCCAGGAGCAGTTCAGTGTGCAGCGCTAGAGGTCCAGCCTCCTTTATCCACCTGGGAAATCTTCCATGGGTTGTTATTATTGTACATGTGAGGGAGCCAGCTGGTGTCCTTACAGGTTATATCACCTTGTTATTCCAGAACTGGGTGTTAGTTATAATATAGCGATCCTGTATTTAGATTAGGTCATATTTAAAGGCTACAGAAAATCTACCCTCTGAACAGCAAACAGGGAGTCTTTATTACTACCAGACAGGAAATCATATTATGCAAGTGGTGTGTGATAGATATATCAGTGCTCTTAAGAGCCTAAAGTAAGTTGCTTTAAAATGCCAATTATAATGTAAAAAGCAGGGAGATGACAGCCTCAATGGAACTGTCATTTTAAATTAAAACTTTCAGTTTGACAGAGGGTGACACCTGTAACCACCCAGTGATTTTCATTATCACCAAAGCATTAGAAGGCTGGCACCAAAGCTGCGCTGCACCCAGCGTGTGTGCAAACACGGCCTCTGGCTTCCAAGCCGGTGCCGCCAGGACACCGGAGCCCAAGGGAGGGAGGGCACCACCTGCCTTCTCTGTGATGTGTGCCTGTGCGTGTCAGGGCCCCATTACCAGGGGTGTCCCAGACAAAGGTCATGTTCTTCTTTAAGACGATAAACGACTAGGGTAAAGCTTGTTCAGAGTCATGCTGACTTCTCATTAAGCTGTTATGTAATTTTTTATTTACCAAATGATCAACCATTATTTGTACAGTTTGAGGTCGCTTTCAAATTCTCAGAGCCAACTTTTCTCCCCCCAGTGCAAACCAAATGGCAGGCGTATGATGTTAAAGAAATTTTTAAAGTACAATGTATTTATTACTACCTCCTTTCTCTCTGAGAAGAAAAATAATCCAACTAATAAAAGTATGTTAGAGTTAAGGATGGAAAAGATCGGGGGGAAGGGAAGGGAGGGAGGTCCTAGCCAAATGAAAACTTTTTTTTTTTTTAACCAAGTATTAAGAGAGAGTTCAGTCCGACCTGTGTGTCTCAGTGGTTGAGCATAGACCCATGAACCAGGAGGCCACAGTTTTATTCCCAATCAGGGCTCATGCCCCAATTGCAAGGCTCAATATCCAGTAGGGGGCATGCAGGAGGCAGGTGATTCTCATCATTGATGTTTCTATCCTTTTCTCCCACTCTTCCTCTCTCTGAAATTAATTTTTTAAAAAAATTTTTTTAAATTAAGAGGTAGTTCAGCCTGGTCGATAGGATAATGAGTGAGGAAGATTCCAATCCCAATAGTGAGACATTGAGAAAGTCATACATTCTAACCATTCTTCAATTTGCTCACCTTAAAAGTGGAGGTAACCCTTCACATGATGTTGTGTTAAAAAGTCAACATAGTTTGTGCACAGCTGAATTTTATTTGTGAAAAGGGTTCCTTTAAGATCAAGACATTTACATTTAATATTGGCATAACTAGATTTAAATATTCATCCCTTTGACTTTCAAAACAGAAAAAGGAGGAAGACATGTACTCACAAAAGCTATCTCAGAGCGGGTTCCCACCCTCAGAATTACAGGTAGAGAATCGTAGTAGTGCACTGTGAAGACTCCTCATATTTATAACATATTCCAGCAGCAGCTCTGCAGTTTCCTTCTCCTCTTTGATAAGAGATCAAACAAAGGGGTGTGTCCCCCTCCAGAAGCTACCCTTCTTGACAAACTGGTCTTCGATACCTTTCAGAATCTCACCAAACTCCCAAAATGAAAAGAGCACAAGGTTGGTCGCATTCAACTTAAATGCTTTTATTGACAATGTCTTTGAACAATAAGCAAACAATGCTTAAATTTTTCATTCAAATTTCACTTTCCACATGTCAAAAGACTTCAAGGTAGAAAAAAATAAAATAAAAATATAAATATCTGAGAATCCATCTTAATAAATAAATTAAAAACACAATAAAACGTTTTCATGGAAAACTGTTAATGTCAGAACAATCATTCCACCTCAACAATGCATGATCAGTAACATTACAATGAACATTGATGTTGAAGAAAAACTACAGTACATGGATATAAGCTAGTTACTTCTATCTACCAGAAAATAAAGTCATATCTTTTTCTTAGTTTAATATTGGTCATTGCTACTCAGAACACACTATTGCCAGGAACACAGTAGTTATTGTTAAAATCAGCTGCACTAGATACAATTTGAGAATATCCAGCACCAGGTTAATTCCAATAACGAACCCAATAGATTAGTTAATGCTATGAGAAGACTAAAGAGAAAAAAGAGGCGCAGACCCAGGCCTGGCTCCACATGCTACTAACTACCAGCTCTCAGATGTGTCGCTGGGAACAATACACACTCCATGCGTTTTTGCTACATCTCCGAAAGAGGTAAAGACTTTGAGTCCACCCGCGGATGCTTTCAAGTCCTTTGAGGCCCACAGCCCGGTGTGTGTCACGCACAGAAAAGGTCCTCCCTAGGTCTACGGGAACCCTCGAGGGAAGATGTTTCTCCTCTCTGCAACGCACCAGCTCAGGACAGTGGGCACTGGCGTGTGCCCACTGCCTCCCCTTCCTCGCCTGCTCACAGGGCCAGCAGCGTGGGCGAGCTGAGCGAATCAGAGGAGGGCTCGTTGCTGCTGCTGCCCTTGCGGTGGGCAGCTGCACAGCTGGGGAAGGAGTCAGCCTCGGGGTAGTTGAAGACAAAGGAAGACGTGTAGGTAGTGCAGCTGGGAGTGCAGGTGACCACCGGGGTGCACAGGGGCTCCAGCTCTGCGGCCAAGGGCCCCATCCCCAGGGAGCCACCGTGCAGGGGCTCCCAGTCTGCTGCATAGAAGGAGCCAGACAGGTCCATGTCTGGCACAGAGCGGGAGGTCTCCGAGCCGCTGGGCCTGGACGATGCCGGGAACAGGAAGTCATCAAAAGGCTCAGCCTTCAGCTCCACGCTGCTCATGTTTTGCATGTTTTTGACGGGCTCCACTGCAGGCTTGGGCTCAGGGTCATTGAGGAGGGGCAAGGCGAAGGCCTCCTCAGACTCAGGGGTGGTGGCCTCAGGCAGGCCTCCATTCAGATCCAGGGGAGCCCCAGGCATCTCTTCCGGGAAGCTCAGGTCATGGGGGATCTTGCAGGCAGGCCGGTGAGCTGCCAGGATGAACTCTAGTTTCTCCTTCTCCTTCAGCAGATTGGCAATCTCGGTCTGCAAAGCAGACTTCTCGTCCTCTAGTTGGTCTGTCTCCTGCACACAGAGGAATAAAGTCAACGCATGAGACCACTGTCTTGCTCAAGGACACTGCCCCCTTGATGCCCAGTTCTCCCAACTTTCCCCTTTAAAGTTTTGAAAAGGAGCAGCCCATTGCTGTCTACCTACCGCTTGGAGTGTGTCAGTCAGCTCCCTCCTGCGATTCCGGCATTTGGCTGCAGCCATCTTATTCCTTTCCCTTCGGATGCGCCTTTTCTCTTCTTCTTCTGGGGACAACTGGAAGGAAAAAGGACCCACAGTCAGTAACAGCGTCTGCCAGGAGCTCCATTCGCCTGCCCCAGTGAAGCTGGCTCCCGCAGCTTTTCCCTCCTTCCTGACACCTCGTCTGTGAAGCCACTTCTTTCTAACCTGCGCTTTCAGGCTGGCTGTGACTTGCATTTCAAATAAGACGCTGGGCAAGAGCGTGAAGAAGAGCCCAGTGACGGGGACCTCTTAGGGAAGGAACTAGTAGGGTCTATCAGAGCCTGGCTCCAGATGGAGTGGGCTTGGAGCCAGAGTTCCCCGTTCAGGATGTGTAGTCAGTTCCTTCATCGACTTCACCCTACCCACTGTGCTCTCCGTCTACACCAGTGCGGGGGGGTGGGGGGGGGACCCTCCCCCACCCCATACCCCTAAAACACAGAGAAGGTGCGGAAGGACTCACCTGTTCCACCTTGCCCCTCCTGCCAATGCTCTGAGCTCTGCCTCCTGTCACAGCCTTCATGACCCCGGCCCTGGAGTAAGCCCCGGCCGAGGGGGCGGGGACCCCGTAGGGGTGGTGGGCTCTGGTCTGGGATGGAGCCACCGAGGAGACGAGAGCGGGCTGCACCAGCCACTGCAGGTCCGGGCTGGTGGAGATGGCAGTCACAGTCGGGATGAAGTTGGCACTGGAGGACCCCAGATCCGTGCAAAAGTCCTAGAACAAAGCAGAGAGGAGAAGCTGCGGTGAGCGAGTGAGCAGGTTGGGAACGCAGGTGAGGTGAGTGTCCCAGTGCCGCATGCAGCTGGGGGGGGGGGGGGGGGGGGGATGGTCCTGCCGGGGACTGCGCCTGTCTTTTTATATTCCCCTCATCCTGGATGAAAGGTCTTTCCCTTTCCTCCAAGAATCCTGGGGCAGCAGCGCAGTGTCTTCCTCCGACATCCCGCTGCTGCGTTCCCGTTATCCCGTCAGCATCACTCGCTTGAAAGGGGGTTTGTTATAAATATCCCTGACGTCTGCGCTGACGCAGGCGCCGCGCCGGAGTCTCCTGAATGAACTCGCTTTTTATCAATGAAACTGCCTTACACACCCGCCTGCTGCGCCCTCCTTCCCGCCGCTGCTTCAGGCTGGGAGCGGAGGGAAGGGGGTGGGGGTGCCGCTTTTGGCCGCCTCCCTGGAGGAGTCAGGCTCTGGCTAGCCTGTCCTTGCTTGGGACAAGTGTGCCCCAGCTGGTATCAGAGACCCGGCAGCGAGCGCGGGCAGGGGGCGGATCAGGAGGAGCCCGCCGCGGGAAAGCAGAGCCAGTTCCAACTTTGAAAAGCGCGTGTGCGCTCCCAACAAGTCTGGGGCTCCCCACACAGGGCTGCTCCAGCCCGGGGCAGCCTCCCTTTCCCGGCCCAAAAAGGAGTCCCCGATTAAAAAAGGAGTCCCCTACTCATCTTACTCAGCTTCCCGTCCGGTGTCTCCTCTCCGGTGACCCCGAATCCCCATCCCCGTCCCCGTCCCCGTCCCCGCGGCGGCGCGGGGCCAGCCTTACCTGCGCGTTGACAGGAGAGCCCATGCTGGAGAAGGAGTCGGCCGGCGAGTGGTAGTAAGAGAGGCTGTCCCCGGCCGGGGAGGCGCTGCTACAGCGGGACGAGGACGCCTCGTAGTCCGCATTGAAGCCTGAGAACATCATGGTCGCGGTGGGTCAAAGCGAAGGGCTGGGGGGGCAAAGGCAGAGGCAGGCAGCAGCTTTTGGGGGCAGAGCTGGGTGGGGAGCGCGGTCACTTGCTCTCTTGCTGCGCCGCCGCCGCTGACTCTGTGTCCACTCCTCGGCTGCTCGCTGCAGATGCGGTTGGAGTACGAGGAGCCGCAGCATTTATGAGATTTTATGAATGAGTCGATGACGTCACGGCGCAACCACCGCCGCGCCGGAGGGGTGGCGCCAGAGCCCGACCGGCCCCGCCGCCTCCCCGGTGCCCCTGCCGCTTGCGCAGCTCCCTTTCCGGTCCCCGGCCTCGTTGCGTCTCCTTATTTTATTATTGTTTAGCCATCTGGGCGTTGGGGTCCCTGAGAGCACCCCCTAGGATGGGGGGCTTGCAGGGACGGCTCCCCCCGCGGCCGCAGGGACCGGCCGTGGAAACCTGCTGACGCAGATGTCCTAATATGGACATCCTGTGAAAGGGGAGGAGGGAGGGACTGACGGGAACTGCTCGCGGCTGCAGCCAACAACTGGGGTGCAGCGCGGGGGGAGGGAGGCGGGAGCTGCAGCCGGGGGAAGGGAGGGGAGGCGGGAAAGGCACAATACCGGCGAAGAACATTCTCGTCCCGGTTCTATGGGAACCCTTGTTCCCGCCGCAGGGGGATGGGGCGGGGACGCCTTCTTACCGGTATACTGTAACCCAGGAGCAGTTCTGAGCTAGGGGAAAGGTATAGGAGAAACAGGTATACCGCCCCAGGGAGGGTATGCAAGCCTCCGCCCGGGAAGTCAGGCGCCTCAATCTACCCCCATTCCCAATTCTAGCAAATTCTGTGCAAACGGTACACCCCTCCCTCCCCCTTGTCTCAAGCCCCCAAGCTCCAGCAAAATACTGGGGCTGTTACTGCGTTGGGAAGCAAAAAGTAGGGGAATCCGAAATAAAAGGATAGCCGACTTCGTCTTCGAAGCTAAGGATTTTAGTTGTATTATTATTTTGCTGTTTTTAAGGGGAAAGGCGCTTTTTTTTTTCTTCTCAGTCCTGTATGGGTATGTTCCTGTTACTGTCAGACCCCTGAGACATTAAACATTAGGCAGAATCTCCACGCAAGGATGTCTGGAGGGTTCCACTGCCCGGTACTGAGAAGAGGCCTGGGCCGTAGGATGGGGATGGGGGGGGGGGGGGGAGGGTTTGTAGACAAGGTCGTCAGTTTGCTATTGGGGGATCGACAGTCTGAACGGGAGGGGGGGGGCGGAGGCGGGGAAAGAGTGGAGGTGATTCAGTCCCCCAGGAAACTCGGTGATTTTCACGCAGCGGGTGATTTTCCATCGAGGCTTGGAGCGGGGAGGACTGGGATCGGCGAAAGGACCTCTCCGCCCAGCAGCGCTCCGGCGCTGGGACCCCAGGTGCGGCTCCGGGGCTCGGGAGCTGCAAGGTGCTCCAGAGCGCCTAGCGCCCCGGGATGCCCCCAGCCTCCCGGTGCCGCTGCAAAGGACAGCGGGGTCACACTGCCCCGGCTGGTTCCCAGGACCGGCCACCTCCAGGGGGGAAGCCCTTTGTCTGCCCCCTCCCTCCCCATCCGCCCCCACCTTCTTGGGGCCAGGAGGTCACGGTGGGCACCTGAGAGGTGGCGGGCGGGGCTGGCAGGGGCGGATCCTGCAGGGCGAACTGGGAGTGGGGCGGCCGGCCGGCCTCCCGCCGCCGCACCCGGAGCCGGGCGATCCTGCTATAGATAGTAACAGGGAAGCTGCTGTTTACAGCAACACTGCGCCGCCAGGGCCGTCTCCAGGCGACGCCGCGCGGCCGGCCGGGTGCGCCGCCGTCCAGGCGGGGCCGCCCTCCCTGCTCGCTCCCCCGCCCGGGGCCTCGGCCTGCCCGGCCCCGCCGCCGCCGCCGCCGCTCCCGCCGCCGCCTGACATCACCCTCCCGGCCCGGCCCGTGGGCTGAGCGCGGCTCGAGCGCGGCGGTGCGCTAACCTCCGTTCTTAGAGATGCCAGCCCGGCGGGATCAGGGAGGGCAGCGGGGAGGCGGGGATCCGTGGAACTGGGCCACTTGCTATTTTTTGCATTCCCTGTCACCGGCGGAGGTGAGAACAGAATTTCATCATTCTATGTCACTGGTTTGTGTTGGTGGGAATTTAGGCGCTTTATTTCTTCTCCCTTCAAAACTGGGAGAGAAAAGAGGGGGGAAAAACAACAACAACAACACATAAAACAGACAGACTTCTTGGAGCAAGCTGCTCTGAATCCTAAAGTAATTCTGCGGGCCTTCGGTTCTCCTAAATCATCTAGTCAGGCTGGATCACTATCTTGGATTACTTAATTTCCCGAAAAGTTGATGAAGGCAGCTCCATGTCTCTCTCTCATTAGCGTTGGACAAAGTAGGTCAAGCTTTGGATTCCTGGGTCTGGCCTTGCATTCCACTCATAACTGGATCTCGTGGGGCCTTTTCAGGGAAAGCCTAGAATGATTTCATTTACTTCCCCTCCAGACTCTTGAATCCTCTCAGGCCAACACCAAAAGGATGCGTCAAAATTTTATATCCAGGATTTATCTCATACGTGACTTATCCTGCCTGTGCCAATAAAAAAGGGAAAAGGGTCCTTGGATAAACATGTCGCCTCTGGATAGCTTAACTTTTTCCTTCCTGGCACCGTTATGACCAGAGAGTCAGAGACAATAAATCATCCTCTGGAAACTGGATCATGAATCCATCCATGAATATATTCATTCATTTATTTATTGAACACAGACCTATTGAGAGCCACCTGTGGCGGGGCCCGGTGCCAGGGCTGGCACTCGCTGAAATGAACAAGGTGGACCTATTCCTGCCCTCAGAGAGATCCCAGCCTCCTGGAGAAGGCCAACAGGTCTGTAAAGAATGGCAGGGCAGCGGTACATGGTTTGACAGAGTGGAGAACAGGGTGCTGCGGAGCACAGAAGGGGGAGTGAAGACAGGTATCTGGGAAGTGACTGCAGTACAGAGATGGGAGCTGGGACCTCTGTCCTCTGCGAAACAGCACGATAAAGACTGACACGCCGGAGCACCTACCTAGGGAAACAAGTGCTCAGTGCCAGTCGTATCAGATGATTCCATCACAAGCTTCCTCTACCATCACTCTGACATACTCTCACACGTCACAATCTACTCCTGGTATCTATTTCAGGACTGTAAAATCACATCTTTCATGCGGAGCTCACATGATGTAGCCTTAAAATAAAGAGAAATCAGAACCAACGTGTGGAATTATCTTGGCCATCTGCAAAGGTCAGGGGTGACTTTGAGACAGATGCGCATGTGCCTCTGTGAGCACAGTGCTGCCGTCCAGCAGGGCAGCGGTTCCACGTTCTGTTCAAGGCTGAGCGTACAAAACCCACACTCACGTAGTTTGTGATCTGGGTGCTGAGTTCCTTCCTCCTCTTTGGACATCCAAGAGTGGAAAGGAGGGTAGAACCGCAGATCTGATTTCCAGCCCAAGCTGCAAGCAATTTTCTTTCTCCTCAGCAGTGGTTCCTTATCAGATAGGGACTTGCCCAACTTTGCAGTCTCTGGCACCTGAACTAAGAGACCTGACCCACATTGACCATGTATTCAGCACCTCTGGAATTCAGTGCGCATGGTTCAGCTTGGCCTTATTGCAACATTAAGTGAAAGGCTGCCGTCTGTGCCGCCTACGTAAATGCTGCCACACACAACCCATCCCCGGCATGCAGAAGTAGTTATTTATTTGGGGAAGTGCGGTCTAGTGGTGAAGGGTTGTGGTCAGAGCACGGGACCAGAAGCCAGGAAGATGCATGTAGCAAAGGCAACTCCTTCAGGGACTTGGTGGGGAGGGGGTTGCTTCTTAGTTTAGCATCTCCATGCTCTTGCCCTTGTCTTTTTCATGTATCGACAGTCCCTTAGCACCTAGCACAGGGCCTGGCCCAAAACAGGTGTTCCTTAAGTATCTGCTGATGGATGAATGCCATCATCCAAGCAGGTGGAATATATATTACTGTCCTTTATGCGTATTTAGAAATCAAATAGATAATGTTCTTTAATCTTTGGGAAGTCTGAACAAGCTGAGTCTGTTGTTTTTGAGTATGAATAGGCAAAAATTGGAAAAAGAGAAATTAACAAGATGCTAGGGCTATTTTTAGCTGTTGCAACCTTTGTGTATAAAGAACACCCCCAGTGATCCGTGATAGAACATCCAACTTGCCCTTGTGAGTTAGCCCCGCACATAAATGCTACATTGTCTGCAGTGATAATGACCTTGTTACCACCACCCTCTGATCTTTTCATTCTAAATGTCTGGCCCAAAAGGGGGAGAAGCATTCCACAATTTCTGTAGGACTCACACACATGTGAGCCCAATTAAGGGTCTTGGGGGTCAAGGTTACTCACCCTATGGCTCAGACAGCAAATAAAAAGACTGCCTCTGTTTTAAAAGAGCGGAGGCAGGATGAACAGCACCATCACCACACACACAGCCCCCACTACCATCAGCGCTACTAATTAGTACTAGGGATTTAGCCTCTTTGAGAAAAACTGTTTTCATTCGGAACAACTCCTGGCTTTGTGACAGGAGATGATGATTCAATGGGATCCCCGTCCTGCTGCTGATGCCAGCATTCAAACAAAGCTCTGTGTGGTCCCCAGGACACGCTCCATCTGGAGCTGATGAGACCGGAGAACAGCTATGGTGTCTAAGAAGGACACAGTTCAACCCTAACTGGGGCACCCTTCACCTCCACCAGCAGCACGGGACCCTCACTCTGCTGGCCATGCCGAACTTGGCTACAGAAACCAGAGCTCCCCGTTGACAGCCAAAGTTTTCTCCAGGCTGTCAGCAACTCAGGTGTCCCGAGCTGCACTTCCAAGGCTTTGGTGGACTTAGCTGCTGGAATCCCAAAGGAACTCTCTCTACGTCACCAAACCTATAGGACAGCACACCCCGACTAGAAACCTCACCTGCAGGCTCCCATCCACAGTCAGCAAGGGTGGGGCGGGAATGGGGGTGACGACGAAGATGGCCTGGCTCATGACGTGCACCAGAGTGTTAGGACACCTCAAGCATAGTTTATACCAGTTTATCCACTGCCTTACTCAACAAGAAAGGTCTTTCAAAGAGGCATTAGTTATTGTAACACCCAACACACACACACACACACACACACACACACACACACA